CAATCGCCTCTTCCCCGGATAACAAACAAATGACAATTTCAATGTCACTAATTCCTACTCTGTGTACTTTATCCGGGATCCGGGACAATTCCCAGTTAAATAAGGGCGGGGTACAAACTAGTTCCCCCCACCTGATATAGTTTATCAATATACAAGTAGTTCTGGGAAGAACCAATCTCCTACTTTCCTTGATACGACAGGGACAGCAAAGAAAACGACGCGTCCATCAATTCTCCTATTGTTGCGTATATTCGTTGTCGCTGTAATGTTTTTGCCAAGCCGTTGCCTGGCAACGAGAGGACACACATGTAGACAGACTGACAGGAGAGATTTATGGAGCACGCCGTTGAGACGGGCTCAGGTGCCATGATATACATCTCAAGTTTCATAAAGATTGGTTCAGCCATTCAAAAGTTGATAGGGGTCATACGCAGGCATACAGGCGGCATGGAGGACGCATGAGCCTACTTTTATTTTTTAAAAATAAGGAAAGTCTATTAAAAATAGAGAAATAGAAGAGTTCCATATTCTGAGATATAATGTCGTATAGTCCGTTAAATGTCAACCGATGTTTCTAAGCAACATATCGCCGCCATCTGCAGGGGCGAAAAATAAGCTAAGAAAGAAGCCAGCGAGAAACGGGTACCAAGCACAGACAGACACCGCTGTGAGAACCTCGGATCCCAGACAATACGGAAATTATTGACGTAAGAAAAAGCATCCGGGAATTTCTGATGATCCGCAATATTACGTCATGTCTGGGGCTTGTGATTTTTGTTTGGAACTCCATAGTTGGGTTACATCTTGTGGCCGAAAGTGTACAACCGGCAGAGATATTTACTGTGAAGATACAAACAAGAATACCACTGAATACAATACAGTGTAACTTATTAAGTCTCAACAAACTCTACAATGCAGCATTCTTGAAAGCCCCTTCAAACCTGTTTAACGAACATTAACGTCAGTCATTTAGCGTTAAGTAGCTTAAAGTACTGTGTTACGTTAATGTAGATTCGGATGCTAGAGAATATATAAACGTACAATATGCCGAAAAGAGAGGAAATACGTGTTTAAGAAGAATACTAAGATTAGTCTTGGCCGCGCCATAGCTGAAGCGGTTATTCGCTGGCTTCCCAACGCGGCGGCCCGGGTTCGATCCCGGGTCTGGTCAAGTGGGATTTGTGGTGAACAAAGTGGCGCTGTGGCAGGTTTTCTCCGAGTATTTCGGTTTCCCCTGCCAATCTTCATTCCACCAATTGCTCTACAATCACTCTCACCTATCATCTGGGGCTAGTACAATAGGCCAGACGTGGCCGCAATACAAGGGACTTAGTCCCACCCCACTAGCATCTAAAAAAAAGATTAGTCCAATACCTTCTCGTCGCAAAGATTTATCCTTCCCCTGACCTACTGTCTTCTTGGATGTAAAAGTTTACCAGTGTTTCAGATGAATGTACTACCACCATCTTCAAGGTTAAAGAACGTAATATTCTTCGACCATGAAGATCGAGGCAGTACGTCCCTCCCAACACACTACACAGAGTTACATGTCATCTTCAAAGCCACCTTCCTCAGAACTTGAGATCTCATATTCGTTTTTAACGTCCCTAGAACAACTATAGACATCTGTCTGTTGGTTATGTAACTACGAGAAAACAACATGCTAGCAACGAAGCCTTGCAACGCCCTTTAGTTAGAAGAATGCCAGACGTTTCGGTAGTACACTTCACCCCCTGTCTTCAAGGTCGAGGATGGGGCGATGTATTCCTCCGCCACATCGGTCTTCCTCAGAACTAGATGGCGTTACAAAAAGAATACCGTACACTTCAAACCCGTGAAGGTTACGTCGTACGTCCCATATGTCCACGCCATCACCTTCATCAGAAATGTAAATTCTTATGTGACTACAGTCAGGCTTCAATAAAAACAATCCATTACCAGGTATAGTTGATGTCGGTTTCACTCCATTAAGATATCCAGCTGAAGCACAACTTCAAACAAACGAATCTGTCCTTCACAAATACCACACACTTTTCCTCCACAAATACAAGTTACAATAAAACTGCGTTATTCGAGCACACATACTCAACACTTGGCACCTCATACTAAATGTTTCAGTAAGCAACGGATTTCCAGCACAAAAAAGTACGCACACTACCCGACCTCCATGTTACCCACCTGTGAATTATGGGTATTATAAGAGATGAGTGAGGAAGAGATGACTACTCGTACATGCATGCTAAGCCAACCAGCCACGATAAGAAACACACGAGCAACCCTTGCTAGAACTGACATTGGCTGCATGGAATGAATTGCGGCCGGTTCCTTCATCCGATCCGTGTTGACGGTGTTGACCTTGATACAGAGACCCCTTCTGTTGCAGGTAGGGAAATGAAGATGCGTGCCTCGTTGAAACGTGAAATGGTCTTCAGAAAGAGAACATAACATAATGCTCCGGAATATAACGATATTGTGATGTCACTTTACCACTGCTAAAATGTAAATAAACCAGTCTTTTTACTTCATTACACCTTTTGAAGATTAAATCAGTCTGACTTTAGCAACTTATTTTCTAGCATCATAATGCAAAATACAAAATTAACAATTTATTTACATAGTAGTGCAAAATATTCCGTTATGCGTGGGTGAAACTGAAAACCTGAAGAGTAAAGTAAGAAGAGAGTAATTCGATTTTAAAATGATGTCTTCAGACGACAAGAGAAAGCAGAGTAAGAAATAATAAACATTTAGAGAAATAATGGGTGTTATTTCGGGGGCACGCGGTACATGTCGGAAGGTCGTGGGATCGAATCCTGATGAGGTTACTGGATTTTTTCAATTTACCTAATCCTTCCAGCCAAGGCCTGTTACAGGGATACCTTTACTATACTTTTTACTTTAATGGGTGTTATTTCGGGGGCACGCGGTACATGTCGGAAGGTCGTGGGATCGAATCCTGATGAGGTTACTGGATTTTTTCAATTTACCTAATCCTTCCAGCCAAGGCCTGTTACAGGGATACCTTTACTATACTTTTTACTTTAATGGGTGTTATTTCATGAGTGATAAACCCAGAAAAGAGAGCGCCGGAATATTAAATAATGAAGGAAAGATTACTGAAAGTTGTGTTAACTGGTTAACACAGGGAAGATACGCGTAAAAAACACACACACATTGGTAGTGTCTGTCTGCATGTTTCACCTCTGAAAGAACTGAACACAATTCGGTGAAATCGGATATTAGAGAACCGCCATGAAAATTTCCAAGCGAATTTAATATTCGTTGTTATTAGTCCACTCCATGAAGAGCCAAGGCCAAGAATGGTGGAGCTACAACTTCACTCCCCCTTATGTCTTTATGGAGTATTTTTTAACTACTTAAGCACAGGAAGAATTTGGATGTGCCTTATTTGTCCAATATAACTCCCCACTCCATTTGACGCTTCGATCGTATGTTACCGATTCTATGAAATTGGTCATCGTACAAAAATTTATAAATGATTGAGAATATGAAGAAAGCAGTCTTCTGGGATTTGGCACCGTGTATATGTGGTGTTAACCGACGTTTCGGAGGAACGTATCGCCTCCATCTTCAGGGTAGAAGAAAAAATATAAGNTTTACAAAATACAGAGAAAAGTTTCCTGATTGCGCCCAGTGACTCAATGAAAGAGCAAAGAAAGAATGTACGAAATTGTTACTTCTCATGAAGAGTATATCTTTGCATTCTCTCATTACCTTTCACCTTGCGCCAGAGCAAGCAGAATACGGTCTAGAAGACTCCATAGAGTAGCGTCCTTCGTAAGTACTTAAGTCTTTCAATCAAAACAAAAAATCCTGTGGCTTTAGTCCGCAAGCGAACTATACCGACCGAGCCACCGCCGCTTATCGGTACAGATCCAGAGGTCCCGGCTTTGGTTCCCGGCGCTACCACATTTTCTGAGAAGTAGTGGGTCTGGAACTGGGTTCACTCAGCCTCGTGAGGATAACTGAGGAGCTACTTGAATAGAAAACCGAAATTAACTGCCGTGGGGATTCGTTGCGCTGACCACCCGACACCCTCTATCCTCTAAAATTTACACTAAGTCTTTCAGTCAGTCAATAAAAACTCCCGCCTTTTGAGGATCATTATCAGGAGTGTAATGGGTACCCGGTATTATAAAGTGAATTTATCGTAGTAGGGACACTTATACTTTATTTAGGAATAGTATACAGTTACAAAATACTTATCAAAAATCTCAAGGAAATCCAATTGTAAATATTCTGAATTGTGCAATTTAGGCGTCTGATGTGATTTATATTCCGAAAAGTTATGTACGTAATACATTTTAAATGTTTCTTGATGCATCTGCAACCAAAATACAATTTATTCCAAATTTGTAGCTTTGAAATAGTAAGATAAATTATCGTAAATGGGTGAATAACATTAGGTTATACTGTAGCTAATTTTGGGCACACTTACGAATCACATGAACATAAAGAACGCTGTTCATGTATTTGTAATTCTCTCGAAAATGCATTTGCAGAGTATATGAAAACCAACGGCTGTTCATTTGTTTGGTTAGCTGCTCCCTGCTCCGCTTCGCCTCGCCGTCTAAACGCTGCGGATGCTAAAATTAATAAAGTTGGAGAAGAGAAGAGAATAAAAGTGAATCACGAATACAATGAATACAACCGAGCCTCTGTTTTGATTCACATTTCATATCCTCATAAACCTCTTCTGAATTATAAACATCCAGCTCTAAAGTTAATTGGAATGAAGATTACTGGTTTCCGGGATGTGACGCCTCGTAATCTGGTAGACCGTTACCGGTGTTTCGGAGGAACATGCTGCCTCCATCTTGAGGAGACAAGATAGAAACAGCATGTTCCTCTGAAACGATGTATCGAACTATGCTGCGTCACGTTACACAAAAGAGCAATCTTCCTAGTTTCCGCCCTCACAACATAGCATGTGGCATTAACTGAAAATATTTCTAGTTGCAGTTTTTCTTGAAAGTTCAACTGAGCCTGTAATTATCTTAGGCATGTTGCGAACTTCACTTCCCATAATGGATTACACCTAATATAAAATGCGAGACGAGTTCAATTTAACATTTTGTGGAGCCTCCACTTTTATTTTCCATGTTAGGTGGGTCCCTGTCACCAAGGCATGGCGCGTCCTCAGGTTGCGGATTGAGGAGACGCCCTTCAGTTTTGGAGGGAAACTGTGAATGTATTGAATAAGCAGTCGCGGACAGCCGACAAGGGGTGGCCCTCCAGCTTGGGGGTTGGGCGTGGGGCTAAAAACTCCTCACCGTAAAAAATCATTATGTTACGAAAATGAACACAAAGCCTCGGCTCCTTCAGAAGGGCTCAGCTCCACTTTTATTTTACCACCAGAAATTCTGATAAGGAAAGAGAATTAGTATTTTCTTCTACATTTATTTCATGTACATAATAATTTGTGTGTGTTGTGGTTAGATGGCTCTGGCAGTCAATATGGTGGGTCTACAACGTTCCGTTCCTCCTTTAGGAGCTCGGCTGGTTTTCACATGCCTTGATTACTTCTAAGATTTCCGAGTACCGCTGCATGACTGGAGACCCCGATTCCAATGACAACAGTCCAGTAGCGGAGTTCTGAAACAAGATGTAAGAGCTCTGTAATCTGTGAAAATAAAACAAGTTCGCACCGATCTGATCTATTAAAAAGTATTTCTATTCCTCCAAAAACTATGCTGGACATTGTACACTGACTTGGCATATCTGTTGTATATATATAGCGTCGGAATTAAAGTTGTGGGGGCCCAGGACCATCAAACTCTGGAGGCTACTACCTGTAACAACAAATTTATGTTACGACAATTCTTCTGTTGTTGTTTTTGTTGTTCTTCTTCATACTTATTATAATAACTATGCCTACAAACTAACTTCCAGTGATTTCAGTAGTGTCTACGGATTTCATTCCTATTTTGTGGTGGCCGTGGGTCGAATTCCGCGGTCTCTCCCCCGTAAATTCTGTCCTGTTTTATATATACAATATTCAGAAACTGGATCCGTGTCCACCAGCATATGCAAGGGGACAAAGCCTCCAACTTTTTTTATTACTAGTGGAGTTGGACTAAGTCCCTTGTATGCGGCCACTTCTGGCCTATTGTACCAGCCACAGATGATA